AAAAAGATGAATGTATGCGAGATTATTTATTATTTCAAGATTTATTTGGAATTCTTGGAGAGAAAAGATCAAAAAAGATTAATTTATGAGAAAGATAGATGTATCTTCTTAAAAGAGAAACTATTATGTCTATGTTTAGTGAAAAACATGAAATGAAGATTTTTAATTGACTAGAAAAAAGATAAATATATGCGAGTTTATTTGTTGCTCTTTATATTTTATTTTTGTGCTTTATTACATTTTAATTTGATTCTGATTCATCGTTGTTCTGATTTACTCGAAATTCTTAAGAAAAATTTCGAAACCTCCGGTTTTCTGATTCATCGTACAATCGTGAAGCATTCATTATCACATCTGTGTGACGATGATAAATAAAGAATTGAAGATATTTATGATTAAAATTTGGATTTTTGAGCAGCTAACAATAAAAAAACCAACGCGGAATTACCAAACATCCCATTTAAACAATTTGAACAATATAAACGACTAATTTCACTAAAATGATTCACATTTTAGGGAGAATCTCATGCGGATTCTATGATCTAAAGTTAATTGAGATATGTGTATCAAAATGTGCAAATATTATTATATATAGATTGATATAATTGAATAGAAATGATCGTAGTTGCTTTTTTTTTTGGAAAGAAACTACTTGGTTTGACTCTTGACTGAAATGATATTTTCCGTAATAAATTTATTGTAGATTTATAAGATGTTTAACATCGATAATATTTAATTATTGATTATCGATTATAATAATGTGATATCTTTTCTATTTTGGCATAAAAACTATTTTGAAATCTATCCTGTATGTAACATAAGATAAAAGTATAAAAGCAAAATGTATAAAATTTGCAAGAATGATTATCAAGATTTTGCCTGATGATCGAAAACCTTAATATTTATCCTATGAAATAAAAGAGCATCAGGCCTCTGATTTGATCATGACGTAACGCGAAAAATGATGAAAATAGAAATGTTACGCGTAAATAAATGCAAAGCAACAGCGGAATAATAGGGCGCGAAAAGATACAGATAAAAGATTATTTTTCTTGGGTGAGGATAGTTCTTTGGCTGTACGCAGCTACGTGCGCCAAACACAGATTCATCACCCAGACATTTTGCTGTACACCTACGATTAACTATTTTCGGCTAGATATTGGCCCCACTTAAAAGGTCATAGATGAAAACGATTACAAATTCCAACGCATAACTATACCGTAGTTCAAATCCCCCTGTTGAATTTTCCATTTTCGTGCGTCGCATCAAAACATCTTAACGCGATTGGACACGATAATGATAACAATTTATCTTTTTGAAAGAAAATTTATCTTTTTGACCTTTCAGAAGCCTATTTTGGGCAGTTTAAGTCTCTCCGAGGTTTCGAAAAATTATTGTATTTGGAAAATAATATTGTACAACACACACACACACACACACACACACACACACATTTTACAATGAGATAAGAAAGTTAAATGAGATATAAATCTATAATGAAGACTGTTGTGATAATTATTGGCCTATGTTGCGACTTCATGTATAATAAATGACAAATTTAATTAATATAAAATTAAATATTTTAAAGTAATCAAATTATAATTTGTCCCGGTTTTTTTAAGATGTAAAGTATTCCTTAGAGCAAATTAACAATTCGAAATGAGAAATTGTTTGTAGAGCAATCCTTTCTGCAATCTAAATATAATTTGTATATACATAAAATTACAAGAAATTAAATTAAATTATTTTGTTTAAAATATAAATTACGGTTCGGCGAGCTTTATCGTTGTAGACACTCGTTGAAAAATATTTCATTTGCAGACTGATCCGTAATTAAACTGTTGCGTTGCCAAGTTTAAATACAACGCAAAATGATAGAGGCAAATATGTTTTCAGCTTGCAGAAGATAGAAAACAGCGATAGAACTTAGGATAAACATTTCGAAAATGTAGTCGTGTAAACGATGACAATCGTTTGAAACGATGATGTGCCTTATCGTAGATTACCATGCACATATATTTTGATAAGGCACGAAACGATAAGGATGATAGGAGAGCCAAACGAATATAGATTATCGCCAAATTTTTAAAATAAAAATAGTACGAAGATTTCGAGATACAATCTCGGATTATGAGAATTGTATACATAAGATCTTAAGCTGCTCTTGGACCAACATAGTTATAGTTTATATATACGTGTTAATTAATTACCTGGGTAATAATGACGAAATGTAATTACGAAACATTGACGACATGTTGGAAAATAAGAAAATTATAATTATATTAATAAAATACACAGCGGAAACTTTTCCTTTTTTCTTATCAATTTTTTTTCTTATTGATTTCTTTTTTTTCTTATCAATGAATTTCAGGATGAATATATTGGAGAAAGAATTAAATTATTAATATGCAAATGTATATGTTATTATCATTACGTTTTTGGTTAATATAATATCGGGTGTTACTATCTAGTTGACATATGTATAATATTGTTACGTTAATATCTTATATCCATTGCCTGGTAAATTGTATAACTGCGAGATAGTCCTTGAAAATTGCGCACCGAAATAACGCATCGAAAATAACGATAATGTTTATGTATATTATCTTTAATGTACTGGCGCGTGTCATACATCAGGGTTTATAGAGAGATGACGATGACTCATGGAGAAAATTTGTAATGATGCCACCGACACCAACCAATTTAATCATAATATATATATATATATATGAAGATTATTATGAGAATCTTTGATGATAAGCTAACATATTTTAAATCGACTGTTACACGATAATACGAAGCAGATAGAAGAAATATTAATTTAAAAAAGATAGATATATACTTATAAAAATCCTACATACCACTCACGTTAATGTACAAAGTAATCATCTTTTTAAAGCAATTGTTTTTTCACACTTGACATATCAATCACATTAATCGTGCGATAGTATCAGATCATTTTGAAATTAATGGCTTATTGATGTAACGATCAAAAGTTATATTTATGGGAAATAATTACGAAGAAGCATAAAGCTATCAATCGACATGTAGCACTTAATCAAGAGGAAGATAATAAACATTCTTTTATATAGATAATTTTTTTTCCTTTTCCCCGATAAATTTTTATTAGAACTATATAAATTCAACGTATTTCAAATTATAATATTACGATCAACAAATAATTACAAGCACACGAATGACATTTAAGCCAGCTTGAATGTAAAATGAACGAGAAGCGAACTGACTTATTTTTCATTCGCTTTGAATGTTCACGAAGAAAAGAAATGTCGATTCTTTCTAAGAATAGCTCTCCATTTGCACAGAATATGTTTCGTTTTTTTTTTTTTTTTTTTTTTTTTTCTAACCTTACGTATCGTCGGATCGGACGTTAGTAAATTTTTTCTTTTCGTACTAAAATTTGTTTTCGATTTGTCAGATTACTCGCGGTGCAAATTAGAGAGGAGATGTTATTTGCCGTTCGTTGTAAATTCTCTTCGAAGGTGGCCGAACGCTTGTCGTCGACGCAGACCGGAAACGAAGTGGTCGTGTTACACGTAACACACACACACACACACACACTCACATAACGGGCATAAATAGAGAAATAATGTATTATCAGCAAATACATCGAGCTATCGCATTCCTTCATCATCGAGAACGTCTCTTAGCCGTAAACTGCGCGTGGCTCCATTTCCATCGATACAGCACATCATTCGCGCCCGGCACATAAGACTCTTAGGCGACGTATTGAATTACGAATTCTGCAAATGCCGAACAGCGATATCTTTTATCAGTGGGTTCAACTGCAGCCATAATTATTCGACGTTTCGTCGTACGACTATTATTTACTTGTGCAACGAAGTACGTACGCGTACTTATATTAATCGCGAAAATTACACAGAAACGCTTTGCACAGACGAGCTTTAGCTTTAGCCGCACGGCCCACGTTTCTCTGTCGCTAAAAATCGACATGTGTAATCAATGACGTAACAGCTCGTGATTTAATTGTTAAATAACGAGAGCGAATTCGGAAATGCCTTCGGAAGTGCTTTAATACTCGGGCGCGGGAGGAGTCAATGTTTTACAAATAGATCTTAGAGCGCGTGCAGAGACGTTAGGAGGGTGGCTCATGTCCAAAATTGGCCCGTCCTGGGCTTCACGCCGCCCGTATTGAATTTCACGCAATATTTTTCCAACCCGCGAAAATTTCACCGTCGGCCTCGAGACTTCTTTTTTTCATCGATTCCGATTAAATGCCGCGCTTCACCCTGCGATTTTCGGAATAAATCTCCCGCGAACTCGCCTCCCTCCCCCCCCCCAACCCCTACGATTTACTCTCGTGCGATCCTTAGATATTCCGATCATAATTCTAATTTATGTCCACGATCTTTCTTACGTGACGAGAAAATTACCGCCATTGAAAATCGAAACATCGTGAAAATTAATGTTAGAGATCGATTTGTCGCGGGATGCACTGTGATCTTAATCTAATCATGAAATCATGAAATACGTAACTATTCTTTTCGCAAAAATTATTGCAAGATTTTCTTTCGGTATCTGTACTATACTTTGTATATTTCAAAACACGTAACACGTGTTATGTGGAAAAACACGCGTGTTTTTTTATATGAACGCGTGGTGTGTTTCGCACAAAGATATCGAAAGATCATCCGAAAATCATTCGCAGAGAACGATAGGAAACGTGGCTTAAGAACCAGGACAGAAGATATATATAGCGGGAGGGATCGGGGTCGTTACTAAAATATACACTAAGCAGTATAGGCAGAGAAACTCAATCCCCCATTTTAAATGATTATTTCTTTATGATAGATTGTTCACAAAAATTGCAAAATTTAGGCAAGCCGTTTCGGTCAAAGTACCCTTTGAGATCATTGTCATCTATATTATTTCAGTGTTAATAGCACAATTCGTCGTCAGCTTGAATTTAAGATTGACAAAAAAATATCGATTAAATTGGGGTTTTTTTAATGCGTTTCCAGACATTCACAGCTTGGTGCAACTCGCATCTACGCAAAGCAGGCACTGCCATCGAATCGATCGAAGACGATTTCAGGAATGGGTTGAAACTGATGTTGTTGCTTGAGGTGATCTCAGGCGAGACCCTTCCGAGGCCTGACAGAGGCAAAATGAGATTCCACAAGATCGCCAACGTGAACAAGGCCCTCGATTATATCGCCAGTAAGGGCGTCAAGCTGGTTTCAATTGGCGCAGAAGGTACGTTTTCCCTTTTTCCTTTATATATTGCGAGAAAACACCATTAAATTGTATCAAATATTTTTTTTCTCGTATTAATAGTAATAAAAAGCACAAAAATTTATTAGAATCGTGTTATATTTTTATTTTATTTTTTTATGTAAAAATAATTGTATAACTTGTATCATTTATATTATTCTGTGTGTGTCGTACGCTCTTTAAATGCCGATAAATTTTTGACAGAAATCGTTGACGGCAACCTAAAGATGACTTTGGGAATGATATGGACCATTATCTTGAGATTCGCGATCCAGGATATCTCCGTGGAGGAGATGACCGCGAAGGAAGGTCTGTTGCTTTGGTGCCAGCGCAAGACGGCACCGTACAAGAATGTCAACGTTCAAAACTTCCACCTGTCCTTCAAGGACGGTCTCGCGTTCTGCGCACTTATTCATCGCCATCGGCCCGACTTGATCGACTACAACAAACTCAGCAAGGATAATCCGCTGGAGAATTTGAACACTGCCTTCGATGTCGCTGAAAAGTATCTCGACATTCCTCGCATGTTAGATCCCGATGGTAAGTAATGAATTAAATGTTCAATTAAAAATCTTCGGATACTTGCGGTTGACATACATCTCAGGAATATGAGACACATATATTCGTCATTTGGATTGCTCGAGATAGGATCAAGAAGATGATTGTATCGAGTCGCTGAGTTTAGATATTTGCCTTTCGTTGTATAGGACGGAACTACACTCGACTTTCTTTGAGTGGCGACGTGACATGTATAAACGTATAACTTTATATTCATATATTCCCTTGATATCACGTAGATTTGATCAACACTCCCAAGCCGGATGAGCGAGCTATCATGACGTACGTGTCCTGCTACTACCACGCGTTCCAAGGTGCCCAGCAGGTCAGCGTAAAAGAAAATGCGTGTTGCTCTGTTCCTGCCCCCTTGTTTAAAGCGATCTGTTTTATTCTTTGTTAATAATGCGAACTGTAATTAAACGAATTGTATGCTAACCGTTAACGTGACGTTTGAACGTCTGCTAATCGATTATCTTGCTATCATCTTAATTTAATTATTTCAGCAGAGGACTGAAATGAACTATGCACTGCGTAACACTTCTTAATTAATGAATAAAATTATAATTACAACAGAATTTTATATTGGTCTCTATATTCTCTTCAAAGGACGTTATGTTTTCGTCATATGTATAAAATATGATACTAAGAATTGTATCGATGAATTACTAATAGCGTTCTGTTTTCTTGCCGGATTTATTGTTAAAATTAATTACATTTTTTTTAACGGCAAGTATTTACGCTAACAACGCATGGTTTGAGTTTCTTCGACTGTGTTTTTTTTAGATATGCGAAATACGGCAATGCCTGATGAGAGGGCCGTGATGACCTATGTTTCCTCATACTACCACTGTTTTAGCGGTGCTCAAAAGGTGTGTGTTTTGCAATTCGTATTAACCTGTAACATACGCATTGAATATTTGCGTGCGTATTAATAAAATATGAATTCACACGAAAGCGAAAAGAGAATCAGACATTTAAATATATCTCAAGTTTCCTTATTTACATTTCTAGATGGCTATATTCACGATTGCATGCGTCTTGCTCGATGGAAGTAAATTCTATACATTTCGAGTGAACAAACGCGATTTGAAAGTTCTTTGTAAGAAAGAGATATCATTTTTTTATCGTAGGCAGAGACAGCGGCTAACAGAATCTGCAAGGTACTAAAAGTAAATCAAGAGAATGAGCGCCTCATGGAGGAATACGAGCGCTTAGCTTCCGATTTGCTCGAATGGATACGACGAACGTTGCCATGGCTTGCGAATCGGCAAACCGACAATTCCCTCGCCGGTTGTCAGAAGAAGCTGGAGGAATACCGAACGTATAGGCGCAAGCATAAGCCACCACGTGTTGAACAGAAAGCCAAGCTGGAGACAAATTTCAATACTTTGCAGACAAAATTGAGGCTGAGCAATAGACCGGCATACATGCCCACAGAAGGAAAAATGGTGTCTGATATAAATAAAGCATGGAGAAGTGCGTTTTTTTTAAGTCTTTCTTCGTCAATATTTCTATATATTTTCACATAAAATAATATATATTAAAAAATTATCTTCAGATCTGGAGTTAGCCGAGAAGACGTTCGAAGATTGGTTATTGTCCGAGATGATGCGTTTGGAACGATTGGAACATTTGGCGCAGAAATTCAAGCATAAGGCGGACGCTCACGAGGACTGGACCGCTGGTAAGGAAGAGATGCTCACATCCCAACACTTCCGGCAGTGCAAATTGAACGAGCTTAAGGCCTTGAAGAAGAAGCATGAAGCTTTCGAATCAGATCTTGCGGCCCATCAGGATCGTGTGGAGCAAATCGCAGCTATCGCTCAAGAACTCAAGTAACTTCAAGATTTTTTATCTGTCTTAAATTGTTTTGATTGTCACTATATTTGTATTTTGTTATTACAGCACTCTTGAGTATCACGACAGCGCATCCGTGAACGCTAGATGCCAACGCATTTGCGATCAGTGGGATCGTTTGGGTACACTTACCCAACGCAGACGTCAAGCTCTCGATGAAGCCGAGAAGATCCTAGAAAAGATAGATGTCTTACATTTAGAGTTTGCCAAACGCGCTGCTGTGAGCACTTGATTTTATTTGCAAAATTGTTGGTTTTTTTTTTATCTCGAATTAACATTTGATATTGTATGATTTTCAGCCATTCAACAATTGGTTGGATGGAACCAGAGAAGATTTAGTGGACATGTTTATTGTCCATACGATGGAAGAGATTCAAGGTTTAATGGACGCGCACGCTGCATTCAAAGCTACTTTGGGTGAAGCGGACAAGGAGTACAACGCGATTGTGGGATTGGTGCGCGAAGTAGAATCCATAGTTAAGCAATACCAAATCCCTGGTGGCTTGGAGAATCCTTATACCGCTCTAACTGCCATGGTAATATTGAAGAATAAATTATTATTGATTAAATTTATTATTATTTATTGCATAGATCGAAATCTAAAATTAAATAATATTTTTTATTCTACAGGATCTTACTAAGAAATGGAGCGATGTTAGACAGTTAGTTCCTCAACGTGACGGTACCTTAGCTGCTGAACTTCGCAAACAACAAAGTATCCTTATTTTATGATGTTGGTTATTTAATTTTTCTCTAAAAATGAATATTTTTTTACTATTTTGTAACATTAAACAAACTTTGTACCAAGTAGAAACAATTTTTTGTGAATTTTTTAATGAAAATATTTTTTGTTGATTAAATATGCATTTGAAAGATATTTCCTGAATTGTGAAAATAGATAATGAATTGCTTAGACGACAATTTGCCGAAAAAGCCAATGTTGTCGGACCATGGATAGAACGCCAGTTGGATGCTGTGACTGCAATTGGTCTCGGTCTTCAGGTAATACATCAATTTTATATAAAAATTTATGTGTTGTTTATACATCCACGGATTTTTTTAATGTTACGTTTATATTTTAGGGAACACTTGAAGATCAATTACATCGTCTGAAGGAATACGAACAGGCAGTATATCAATACAAAGCTCATCTTGAGGAATTGGAAAAGATCCATCAAGCAGTTCAGGAAGGCATGATCTTCGAAAACCGTTATACTCAGTACACTATGGAGACATTGCGCGTTGGTTGGGAACAACTTCTGACTTCAATTAATCGTAATGTTAACGAAGTCGAAAATCAAATTCTTACTAGAGATTCGAAGGTATTCTTAAATAATTTGTTTATATTATGTATATCATATTTCTGTACGTGCTTTCGGAAAAATGTTGAGAACAAGCATAAACACGTTTCCGTTTCAGGGTATCACTCAAGAGCAGCTGAATGAATTCCGCAGCAGTTTCAATCATTTCGACAAGAACAGAACGGGCAGATTGGCACCAGATGAATTTAAATCCTGCCTTGTATCTCTGGGATACTCTATTGGAAAGGACAGACAGGGCGACATCGATTTCCAACGAATCCTCGCCATCGTTGATCCCAACAATTCGGGCTATGTGCACTTTGATGCTTTCCTCGATTTCATGACGCGTGAGTCTACAGATACCGACACAGCGGAACAAGTCATCGACAGTTTCCGCATTCTCGCTGGTGACAAGGTAAGAATATTTGAATTTGAATGAATTCGCGGCAATGAAACATGTCATACAATATATAAATTCTTGTCTTTTAGCCATATATCTTGCCAGATGAACTGAGGAGAGAATTACCACCGGATCAGGCGGAATATTGCATTCAGCGAATGCCACCATACAAAGGACCGAGCGCTGTGCCTGGAGCATTGGATTACCGCTCTTTCTCGACAGCTCTGTATGGTGAATCTGATCTGTAAATGAACATAATGATATCAAAATTGATATTATTCGATGGAGTAATATCGAAAGAAAACAATGAAAAAGGGATCGGGTATTTGTCAGCTGAACAGATAAACAATGCCTAAAAGTTTCTCCTACTATTTTAGTATTTTTAACGCATCAACGTATTTTCATGGCGATACATTTTATTAAAACTCAATGTAAAAGAATACAATACGTACAATGTCAATCATTATGTTAAATACTAATAACTGTACGTGCGTATGTGTACTCGAGTTTATTGGAAGGGACTAGAAATTTACTAGTCCGGGATAAGTAAGAAAGTAGGTGATATCATTTTAACGTAAAGGGATCTAAGTTGTCGTACTAAGAAAAGTAGATATTAACTGTATTAACTAAGAATATCTTCCACGTGAATGGAGATTACATATCAGATATACGTACAAGGAAAAATTACGTAACTTATATAAGTCTGTTAACATGACAATAATGAATATCAAATATGAGTATTTAGATACCTTTCGTTAAAAAGATATGGAACGTAAGCATAAACAAGAAGTTCAAAATTAATGTACTCTTCTATGGAACGTTTTGCTACATGCTTATTCTTCTATTTTTTTTTATGTAGCCTACTCTAGAACGAGACAATTTGAATTTCTTTTTTTTTCTGGGAAGATAAGTGCCAACGATAGGTAACACATTTTCTACGATTCTTTTTTTCGAACGGGAAGGAATTGCGTCTTGGGCCATATTTGAGATCGATAATTATGGCAAAAAAGGAGAAGCTTACATAATTGGATATAGTTAGTGAGTGCATTGATACTAGAGGCTCTCCAAATTACTATTAAAATAGTACTAATTTTATTAGTACTACTTTTTACTAGTATTACTACTATAAGTACTAAGTAGTGCTATAACTACTAGTACTACTTTTTATCTCTATACATATATCAGGATATTTATTCTAAAGTTCTATATTCTACATTTTGTATATGATTATTCAGCGAAAGAGATATATACACACACATATATATATATTTTTAGATTGCGATTTTGCCATTGTAGCGTGACACAAATTTAACAGTGTTTTCGAATTGAATTTTTCTGAATCCACACATTCATAGTAATTTTATTACATTTTATAATTATATCGTGTTTGTCAATAGCTTAAACGTGTGCCCTTTTAAAAATTACCAAATTCTACGTCATATTTGGGGTGCACTCCGTTAAGCATTGACATTCGGTTTACGCCATAGATCAATGTTCGCACAAACACTTAAAAAAAAAAAGAGAGAATTTCAAGGTAGTAAAATTCAGAGAAATAATAATAACGAGTCTTTGCGAGACTTAATGATATAGAAGTCGACCTTCTCGCTAAGTATCCAGAAAACATACGCTCGAAATCGAATAATGTTCATATTTTTTTAATAAGCGCGGCACTACGAATCCTTAAACGACAAGCCGTCGCCTTATGTACTTTGTAAATCGTATATTAAAGGTACGCGAAACGAATATGCTGAACGAAGCAAATTATTTATTTATTTGACTTTAATAATTATTTATTATATTGCTCCGATATATGTATCTATTTTACGATAGTGAACGGGATACTTTTCTCAAAGTATTTATTTTTATAAATATCTGCGAAGAGCGATAAGGCGCGCTAATTGTAATATAGAGTCCACTTTGTAAATCTCCAAATCGCAGCTGCCATTTCTTGGATCATATTTTACGACGTAGCCTTATCTGTCAAAAGTGACGTCGGAAGTCGAATCATCATTGTTCAAATCGTTGTGAAAAATCAATCTCTCAATTAAAGCGCTCGTGTGTGTGTGAAATGCAATTTACTTTTATCGGCGAAAGTATACTGTAAGTATACTGTAAGTTTTTTTCTGTTTCGCTTTTTGCGGCTTTAATGCGCTTTTCAATGTTTATCTTAACGCAATTTTTTGAGAGTTTACTTAATTTCTCATTCCTTTTTATTTCTTTTTCTTCTCTCTCTCGGAATATACATTGGGCATATAGAGAGACGAATATAATATACAAGAAACACGTCAAAGCAGAAAGTTGACTGCTAGAACAGTATATACACACGTAAATAAACGACACACACGCACTTTTTTACAGGTATACGTACCACCGAACAAGGAAATATACGTAATGTCAAAAAGGGAAGCGTATACTTTGAAACATATACGTCTGAAACATATATATCTGATGCATTGTAATATCCGCGCAAACGAATATTCGAAAATGAAGTCCGCCTGCTCGGAAAGTTGAAAAGTTTCCGAATACTTCATTATAATTTTGTCAGATTTTGTCATACAGTTGAATTACATTCTCATTTATACATAGCGTATTTATACACGTATAATTGTAATTATTATTATTATTATTATCTTATGAAACAATATTTATGAAATTGTAACAATTCGATGGAAATCTCGCTGAAACATGATCGTCTCGCGCTGCATTACATTTATCAGCTACTACTGTATACTTGTTTTGCCCATCTCATCTTCCTAAACTAGATTAATAACAAATAACATTGTAAAACGCAAGAATATCGGGGAAAATAAAGAAATCTTTGAAAAAAAGTATGTATACATAATATCGCATCAGGATTTTTGTATCTTTTACCTCCCATAAAACATATCATTTTCAAGACATTCTTTATTAAAAAAATTCCATCGAAGTGAAATATAAATGTAAAACGAGATGACTTGCTTTATTTAAAATAATATTTGCCATTTATATTGACATTAATCATTTTTTCAAAGGAACGTACAACGGACACATGTATGTGGTTAAACAATGCTTTTTATTCTAAATACAAAAATCTTCGATACACACAAATCCGAGAGAAGAGTTCGACCCATCGAAGTCGAGTAAGATCTATCGCATATTTCTTCTATTAAGTGGACGTATTTTACGAAATAAGATGAACTTAATTCTGAAAATTTACAGATAAGTTAGCGCCTACCAGCACGCCACGGGAAAAATACGTTTACCTTAAATGCTACTTACCACACTATTAATATATTTACACAAAGAGACTTTAACGATAATATCACCGCTCTGCGTTTTCGCTCGATTATATGGCTATTGCACGCTCGTACAATAAGTAGACGAAATATATTTTTATCGGAATTATCACCCAAAAATAACCCGCTTCACAGTATCAACGACCGTAAGTGAATAAAGAATTAATTTCCTCGAAAAGGTCACTAAAGTAAATTTTTTAAAGATAAAAAAATTGAAATGATTTTAGATGAAAATCGTAGAAAGATGAACTCTTAAAAGAATGAAAAATTTTATTTTATATTTGTGCTGCGTTATATTAAAAATGTGCTATTCTTTTTCTATTCAGAAAATAGAAAAAATTATTTGTGGAATAAAAAAGGAAATAGTACAATTTTATGGCTTTTTCAATAAGATCAATTCAAGTCTCCTCGAACAAATATCGTCATTATAAATTCATATATAATAATATTAATGATTTTTATAGAGTGCCTCTATCCAGTAGCCCGCAACGATAATAAAATTTAAGTCTAACGTAATAACATTTCATGCGATTACCGTGCGTGAAAAGAGGGAGAATTAAAATAAAATTTTTATAGAGTTTGATTTTGCAAGATTATAAATTCCCCTTTTTAATTTTAAACCGAGTAATTCATTATGTTCGAAAATTCATCTTCCAAAATATCGCAATGGTAATCATAGTCAGCCGACAGTCACGTATTTTCTTGAAGATATTTCTCATAAATGTCGGAAATAAATTAAAAAAGGCGCGTTTAAATATAATCAATATAATTATCTTTATGTACTCTACGCAAATGCGAAGTAAAAAGTATCGGCTATGTTTACTGTCCGAAACAGATATGAGAAATAAAGCCGATATACAATTGCACCAACCAATTTCGAATTCGAAGCATAATGACACTTCTGTTTCTTTCTTGCATTATAGTGTCTTGTGTCAGAACAGAGACAGAGAAGGTAAATCGAATTAAAGTGAATTTTATGAGACACTGGTGCAATTGGGTCTAAGACAACTAAACTTCGTATTTCGACTGTCGAGGACTGATATCGGAGTGATGATTTTTTATTGGTCCTTGCAACCGAGACCGGCGGACCAATTGCAGATACCGCCGACTGGATCAAAGGACAATTTATCGGGACAGGTGTACTCGGTTCCGATCACCTGGCCGTTCACCATACGGGCACAGGTGATAAATTTCTTGCACGAGTACGGATGCGGGAAGTTGCCCTGGTCCAGGCAACGTATGGTACCCTTACTCGTGAGGAAGAGTTTGCTATTGAGGACGGATTTGCCGACGACGATCGGCACCTCGTCCTCGTAATAATCGTAGTCGATCACCGGCGGTCTTCTAGGTCTTGCGGTCGCGTTTATCGTGGGCCTCTCTTTCGTCCGGGGCCTCTGGCGACTTCGAAAGTCCGCGCCGTACCTCGAGACCGTCTTACTGGTCGTGGAATCTGTTCTAGGTGCTATGGTGGTGCTTATCTTGCGCCTATCCTCATTCCTTAACGGCGTTCGACCTGGGTCGTGGAACCTGATTAGTCGCTTTGTCGCTTGGACATTACAGGGGGGCAAGCGGATCACGATGATGAAAACTGATTCCCATAGCGAGAGAGAGAGAGAGAGCGCGACGAAGTGGAGAGAGAGCAAGATTCATTAGTAAAACATCAATTGGCTAATGAAAGCCAATCGCAGCACAAAAGAAATTGGAAGATACGAGATGTATGTCTCGACAACCTTGTCAGGAATATTACGAGCGCGTAAAAAAACCGTGCTGTCAAACCTGTCAATTTAAAATGATATCGAGATGATATGAGCAATAGTTATTCCTGAGAAGGTCGACTCTAACCAGCCAACCAATTTGGATCCTCTCAAAGTCGATCGAAGGAATTCATGCCATGTACTGTCCAGTCTGTCGGTAGTGGCATGAATTCGATGATTAGTGATTAATTCGCTTAGCAAAGCCAAACAGTGAATAAATATGGAGGAAAAAAAGGTGACGACACTAATGTAGGTAGGTGCGTAGAAGTTACATTATTGCATTAGTACGTAGACATTGATTAAGACAAATGCGGAAGAGGCCCGCTTGTAAATCACAAAATTGCACGGCGTTCAATTGAAGAAAAAGATATAGCGAAAGAAAACAAAAGACAGATGTTGAGACAGAAGCAGAGAGATCGTGAGAAAAATATGACGCGATAAATGCAATTAATCAATCGGATGATGATGTTATCGCAGAGATTCCTTATTCTGGGAAGACGATCTTTTGAGAGAGATTAGCGTCACGGGAGATTTGATATAAGTCGAGGAAAGTCTGACAACTTCCTTGGGACAGATTATTAGGATCGTCGTTAAACAGTTATCACAAGTGGCCCTGATGTAAAGAAGCGGGCCGCGGCGGTTTCTTGAGAATCGATTGTCGTTAGGTGAAACGCATAGCCACCATAGTCTGCGAGCAGAATGTAGTATATGATATGGATTTCAGATTAAAAGAATTAGATAGTCGGATGGCGTGGTTTCTAATAAATATAATGTACCAATGTCCGACGAAGAGGACGGCGGTTCCGACAGTGTCACCGCGAATTCTTGGGCGCGGACGCTTTGGTCGGAGGACACGTCTGCATTCTGATCGTGCAAGACGGCGGTCGGTTTCACGTAGGCCTCGTCGCCCTCAAATGCATCTAAAAACAAAGGAACGGTTTGTAAGAGCGAAAAAAAATTGAAGCCAGACAGAGAGAGAGAAAATCAGATAGAGAGAAAAATTAAATTATTCTTAAATATAATAAATAATAAATAATAAAATAAAATAATAAAATAAAATAAAATAAAATAATAATAAATATAAATAAAATAATAAATATAAATAATAAAATAAATAATAAAAGCTACTAAAAATATAAATATAGCTAAAATAAGCGAACGTTATTTTTTTTTAATAGACCTACCAACGTGATCTATCCTCGATGACAAGGTGGTCTCGAGGGCTGGCCTACCTCTTCGGGAAGTACGTTCTGTATTCGACAGAGTGTTGGTTAACGGAGCGACGGTTGTAAACTGCGCCGGTTTTCTATGTCTAGTCCCACTTCCTGATTTGCGACCAATTGACGTACTGGTCGTTACCTGTCCAAAAAACGATTTATATATTATAAAACGTTACAAAACAATTAACATAAATTATTGATTATAATGACATAGATTTAATTACGAACATACATGCATTCATGTATATACGTACGTTCGTAAATTTAGACAAAGCACAAAGTTTACGGCAGATCGATTATGAAAAAGAAAATATAAAAAGTCTCTCAAGATTGAGATCTCAAACAACACGAACGTTTGAAAAAGAAACTTTTTAAAGTCTTTAAAAAATTATTTTAGATTTTATCTTTTATTTTATAATCTTCTATTTATAATCTTTTATTTCATTTATAATCATATTTTGTATAGTTTTAAGTATTTTTTATGTACCTTATGTAAAAAGCTTCTTTACCTTTAAGATAACTTTAAGGCATTTTTTTAATTCTTTAGCCATCCTTTTTGAAATATTTCAAGGATTTTCTAATTTTTTAAACATCTTAAAATCTAAGTTTCTTGAATATTTGTGTTGTTTGGGATGTTTCACGTGTTAAAATATTAATTATTTATCCAAGCATTAACAGATATTGAAGATATAACATTAAAAGAAATAAAATAGGCGCACGCAGAAATACGCGTAAAGGCGCGCCTGTCGGGAAAAGATATGTTAATTTGTAATGTCAAGAAGAAATAATAGCAGATGAAGATGTTCTTTGATCCATTTGCGTCCCAGAATGTTCGCTTAGAGAGAAAGCTCAAGTTCCAGATTTGTATTCCGGCCTCTATTCCGGAATAAAAACATTTCTAATAACCAGAGAAAGAAGAGCGTCTTCGTAGGCGAAAAATCGTATCTAGAATATGACGATGACGTAGCAGCGTAAAGGATGATAATAGCTCCAGTTTTGTTTCATGAAAACTATTTTGGTTAAATCCAGCGACAGGCGATACTCGAGAGATCTTGCCAGATAGGCATTCAAGAGAAGCCACTAAGTTATGATCAATTATAATTGATTCCTTCTAGATTAATCGCTTGTATCATATCATGTCTTTGATTGCTAAATTATATTTTGATTAGAGATCAAAAACATGATTATTATAGCCAACAAACTTATTATTTTAAGCCATTGAAGGTAATCTTCAGGTCGTTGCGCTTTTGCATTGATCTCTTAAAGTTTTTTTTTTTTTTTTTTTTTTTTTTTGAGAAGTATACCAATCGATTAGACACCAGAAGCACAGATTCAGAGGAGATTTTATGTTGAATAAAATGCAATTCTTCAGATCAGGCGATTTTTTTTTTAAGCTAAGACATTAATGCGATGACGTTGCCATCCCTCTGCATTTGCAAGAGAAGGTCATACTTCGAAAGGTCTTTTGGTTAGCATCAAGAAGAGGCGGCGATATTCGCAGTAGTGAGTCAGTTCTACTAGGATTCCTCATTAGTCTTTTTCAGCGTTTTCGTTTTTTTCGCTTCCGTTTTTTGTTAGGGCAACATGCGATCGGTCAAGGAAGTGACAATACGTTATCAAGGCAAAGTGAATCTTCGACTTAAAGCTGCACTGACCTCGAGCGAGGGTCGATCAGTGTCCTCCTCGACCAGAACAGACGTCCCCGTGATCCGCGGCTCCGTGACTCCCAGCTGTTTGATGGTCGTCTCCTCTTCTCCAGATTTAGAAGGCGTCATCGTCTTTTCCTTTTCAGGAAAATTATTACTCCCGTATAGATTATTTGAAAAATTAAATGTGGAGAATAGTTGAGGCTGCTCTCTGACTCTCTCATACTCGAGCTCTATATTTGTTTCTTCAGCTATTGAATCTTTTTCCTCAGACTTAGCTGCGATGCTCCTCGGTATAACTCCCGTTCGTCTTCGTGTCTGTTCTTTGTCGGGAAAATTTTTCTTTATATGAAAATTACTTGAAAAACTGCCTTGAAGATCTTTATCGATAGAATCAGAATCTACACTCGCCTCTTCAACTGTTGAATTTCTTTTCTCGGACTTAGGTCTGACGCTCTTCAGTACAACTCTAGTTCTTCTTCTGCTCCCATATTTGAGGGGAAGGTCTTTACCGCTGCGAGAGTTATTTGAAAAAGTATCTCCGTTGGTAAAATTAGAATCTATCCTCACTTCTTCAACTGTTATATTTCCTTCAGATTTAGATTTGATACTCTTCAATACAACTCTCATTCTTCTTCTGGTTCCATAGTCGAGAAGATTTTTACTGTTGCGAAGATTATTTGAGAAAGCACCTTGAAGACTTTCATTTGTAGAATCATGCTCTACACTGGCTTCTTCAGTCTTTATTCCCGTTTCTTTGGATTTAGGTTTAACCCTTTTCACAACTCTCATTCTCCTCCTTGTCTTATCCTCATTGGAAAAAATTTGGCTTGTATTAAAATTATTTGAAAGATTGTTTTGAAGATTTTTATTAGTAAGATCGGAATCTTCATTTATTTCTTCAATGGTAGAATTTCTTTCTTCAGATTTAGGCTTAACACTTTTCAATACAACTCTCATTCTTCTTTTTATTTTTTCTTTGTTAGAAGGAGCTTGACTTATGTTAAGATTATTTGAAAAATTGTCATGCAGATTTTTATTCGAATCCACATTTGTTTTTGAAATTGTTGAATTCTTTTCTTCAGATATAGGACTATTTTTCAATACCACTCTCATCCTTCTTACAATTTCTTTGTCAGAAAGATCGTTATTTGCATAAAGACTTTTTGAAAAATTGTCTTGCATGTTTTTGTCAATAGAATCAGAATCTGCACTCGCTTCTTCGATTAACTTTTGCTTCTCGGATTTGAGTTTAACGTTTTTCAATACAACTCTTATTATTTTTCTTGGTTTTTCTTGTTGAAGAAGATTCTTATTTACATGAAGATTATTTTTAGAATTATTTGAAGGATTTTCATTGGTGAAATAAGGATTGGTACTAGATTCTTCTGTTGTAGAATTTTCTTGAGACTGTTTCAGTTTTTTAACTATAATTTTTCGTTTTTTCTCGATATGTTCATTTTCAATAATGGCAGATGGCTGAGGAAATACTGTCGTTTTTTCTGTGGATAACATGGTAGTCACTTCTTCTCCAATTTTTTCCTTAATTTCATTCAACTCAGTTTTCATTCTCTTTCTCACATTTTCCGCTCGATTATGTACAACTTGATCTTCAGTAATATTTTGAATATCAACAATATCTTGATGTGATCGGATAGTGCTATTGATTGCTTCAGAGTTAACTCTAACTCTTTTTCGCATAATTCTCCTTCTATGATTGTTCTCAGTCGAAGATGAAATATCAGTAGAAGGTCTTCGTCTACGATGCACTGCAACTCGATGTCGAGGATATTCGTTAGTTCTCTGCAATGTTACAGGACTTCCAAGCCAATTGTTTGTCCGATTTACGACTCGACGTCTAGAAGCTTTTTTATTGTATTGATAATTAATTGTATCATATTCTGAAGTGGTTCGATTTTGTTTTTGGCTTTCTGTGAACTTTGAAATAGTTTCTTCAGACACTACTTTCATTTTTGGAGTTGTATTTTCTTCACTCGTCGTTTGTGCGATACTTGGCTTGTTAATAATCGTAGTTGTTTGATCTTTGCTTTGACTTTGCGTTTCCACTGACATACCTTTTTTAAAATCTATTTCCTGTTCTGATATTGTAGATTCTTCATTTATCATTTGTATTAAATCCGGCTTATAAGCACTAGTTGTATAAATCATGGAATTTGTCGCAATCGATTCATCGGAAGTTGCAGAAGTTACAGATCTTTCTGAAACTATATTCGTTTTGCTAGTAATCGGTGTTGTAATCGAAAGAAGAGTTGAAGAATTTTGAGTAATCATTGACATCGAGGAATTTTCGTCCTCTTCAGGTGACAATGCAGCTGTTGCAGTTGACAATGTTTCGAAATTTGTGCTAGGAAGAGATTTCGGAAGTGTGATCGTTGTCGAGATAGACTTTGAAGTGGTTTCGAACGTCGTGGGAATTTCAGTAGTTTGAGTAAACTCTGAAGTTACGGTTAATATTTCGGAATTATTGCTGATATTAAAAGTACTCGGATTTGCAAGATCTATCGTGGAAGATTCGGTTGTTAAAGTGGAAATAATTGAACTCATTGAAGTTACGTCTGTGCTCGTGTTTGGAACTTCGGACAAAATTATAGAATTAGTTGTAGATCGATTTGTAATTGGCAAAATGTCACCAATCGCGGAAGTGGAAAAAATGTTCGCATTTGCGGATGTTGTAACTTCGTTAAGGTCAGCATTCGTTGGAGTAATTATATTAAGAGGCGTGTTCGTAGTTATCTCGTTTGCAGTTACGGTATCTGCATCTGCGAGATTATTCGTTGTCACAGGTGCTGTTATATGTACAGGTGCGTTCACCGTTGAAGAAATGATCGTTGTTAATAATGCGGTAGCGGTAGCTGGGATTGTTGTAGTTGCGCGAGTATTGTTAACTCCTGTGGTAGTGAGTGTGGAATAATTCCCAATCGTAGAGGTTGTTTCAAGCTCGATATTCGGAGGTTCGATCGAGATTGTAGAGTCTGTTATAACGTCGTATGTATTTGTAGTTGTTGGAATTGTAGAATAATTTGCAATTGTGAAAATAGTGCTAATATCAGCATTTGCAACTTGATCTGTAGTCATATTTTCAGAATCAGTTGCAACTTCCTGCGTATCAGCAGTCGTTGGTATTGTGATTGTGGAATAACTTGTCATGGATGTAGTTTCACTTTCGATATTATCTGCATTAGGAGTAGCTGTATTCGTAGAATCTGTTGATATTGTTCGCGTAATCGGTGGAACTGCAGGATTTGCGGAAACAATTTCAGTTTCGGTGTTCGCTGCAAACGTAGTCGTGGTTTCAAAATCAGTCGGAATTGCGTTTGTATTCTCGATCGTCGGATGATCAGTTGTAAGATAATTCAGAGAGGTAGTTTCAGTTTCAGTATTTGCAGTTGTAGTTGTAATTGTAGCATCAGTTGCAACTGTGGGTGCCTTTGCAATCGCCATAATTAATGGCGTAGTTGTAATTACAGTCGCGATTGTAGGAGTTGTTGTAGGGTCATCTGAGAACGTTGAAATATCAGCAATCGTGGGTTTATTTGTCGTCGAGATGATTTCGGAGATCGAAGGTGTCGCTGTAACTACTGAGTTTGTCAGAGTCATCGTTAATTCTACAGTTGCGTGGCTTTCCAGGTCTTCGATGTCATTAGAATTTGCAAGATTGTTAGGACTATTTGCAATTTCAGGAGATGTAGAATCGGACGCAATTAAAGGAATCGTTGGTGTCGTCGAAGTTATGGGAAATTTACGCCCTCTTGGACTCAAAATCGATTTAGAAGTTAGATAATCGTTTAAAGAGTTTGTCGTACGAATAGAATCGTTCTCGGTTCGTCTTATAGCATCCTTGATCGGCGAGACAATGGTGGTCTTGTTTCTTTTTCTTACTATACGTCTGCCCGTCCATAACGGAGTGCTCGCTTCATTGTACCTATTCACAACCAGGGCGATTCTTCGTCTCGTTGGCGATGTTGGGGACACGACATAAGAGTTAAAAGAAGGTGTCGTGTTATGATCAAAGTTACGTACTGATTTTCCTCTTTTAGACGCTGATCTATCGACAGTATTTAAGTCAAATTTTTCTTGATTTAAAATATTCTCAGTATTACTGGGATATTCTTCCAACGAATCGACTGAAGAAGTGAACGTGAAAAACCTCCCTTCACTTTTGTCGCTAATGATATTGTTCGCACTATTATCGGGAATATTGGGGCCCAATTCGCTTTGATCGTTATGAGTTACGATTTCATCGGTCGTAAAAATGTCAGGAACAGTAGTTTCTGTCTGCTGTTGGACGGAACTCTCGGTTGTCGTTATCGTAGTGAATATTGACGATGGCAGAACATCTTCACCCTTGGTGATATAAAATCCACGCATTATCGGACTAGGTGTCAGACTGGCGAGAGGAATGCCGCGCATTGTTGTTGGCTTCAAAAATAGATCGAACTCGAAAACTTCTTTTGTTTGTCCTCGTTTTCTTGAATAGCATTCGTGACTGAAACTTGTTCTTCAGAATTTGTATCTTCCTTTCGCGAAGTTCGAGATTTCGCTTTATTTTCCGAGGCTTGCTGCAGCCACGAATCGCCAGTTTCCTCGATCACGCTTCTTTGTAACTGGCTAATTCTTTTTCGTCATCTTGCGACTCATCTATTCTTCTCAACGACTCATCAACGTTCTGCCGGCTAATGTCGTTGTCCACGTCGTTACGCGGCAAGTGCAAGAGTACAGACGCCGACGTAGTGGCGATATGATCGTCGTAGTAAGTCGTCGGATAACCGATCAGTTCCTTCAGGGTCGGCAGCCTGATGGTTTCCGAATCGGCGACCTGAAAATCAGAACAAGGCAGCGCGCTTTAATGCGGAGATCCCCAGGGATCTCCTCTCTCGCTCTCTTTTTTCTTTTTCCTTTCCTTCCAGTCTACTTCTTTGCAGTTTTCTTCTTTCTGTCTTTCTGTCTCTGTGTGTGAGCTGCGCCAGTCTTGGAGGAGAAAAGAGGGAACATAAAGAGGGGAATTCTCTAGTTATCTATTAAAGCGCCGCGAAAACGCGTCTTGCTTGCTGCGTTAATTTGGATAAGAAGTCATCCTGGGTCATCAATAGCATTTAATGATGATTGTATTTGCGGTAAGTAGAGGTACATCATCAGAGAGAGTTATCAAAGATTTCGGTCAAGGTAAGTTCCTCTGAGTAAGTGGATGAAGAGGTGCTCGTTATGATTTGGCATTATTGGTGATGAAATGATGAGTGTGTGAAGACGATTATTTCGGTCGTCGGTCGTCATGAGCGATAGCGAGAGTCCTTGTCGTTCCTTTTGATTCATACGTAGTCGCATTTGGTTAATGTCTATCTCGTAGAGCGATCTTAAAAATAATTAAGCTCGTTAAGTGCTATGTACATTAGTGACATTTAGGCGTCTACTAACTTTTTAACGTTCTCTCCGATATATCGGCGATCGCGATCGGCTTCTTAATTACTTAATGGCTGCGTCTATATACATTATCGATGTCGACTGCATCGATGATGGTTAGTAATAATAGTATTCGTATACTACTTCGCGGAGCTCTTGCCGGCGATCAGGTTGCTGAACACCGACTCGATCTCGATAGTCGAAGACTCGTGTGACTCCGTGGTGACTCGGCCACCGTACCGATAATTGAACTCGCTCTCGATCGGCAGGGTGGATCGCTCGACACCCTGACGAATTTCGTTGACGGACTCATCGTCGTCGATTCCAGTCACCGAAACTGACGACGGACTCGTTGGAGGGAACTGATCCGCTGGTATTCTCGTGGTTGACGTCAGCGACGAGTATTTGGTCTTGATGAGAATCTTCTGTCGCTCAGTGGTACCGGATTCCGTTACCGAGGTCACCAATCTGGTGACGGATGGCACTGTCGTAATACGCGCGTAATACGGATCAATCAGATTTTGCGAGTCAAGAAGATCGTTACTTCTCGGTGTTATCGTCGTCGTCGTCCTTAGCGACTGTTGTTTCCGGTGGAAGGCATCCGCGACATAATCGAATTTTTTCGCCGGTATCAGAGTTTCCGTGGCCGCCGCTTCCGTGCTAGTCGATGATGTACGTTTCGGATATGTACGCGTTCTAAAGTACTGCCAGGTACTTGTGGATTCTGGACTCGGTGACGTAGTGTCTTCGTTGACTTTCACATTATCCCGGTCTCGAAGCTTGTAACGCGTTCGTGGCTGCCGGAAACCGGATTGCTTCAGCCTCGATTCTCTCGTTTCCGGCGTCTCCTCAGATTCTTCAGGCGCGGAGTCTAACGGAAGATGTCGCCTGGGTGATAAAGCCTCTTCGGGATCGAATGGCCTCTTTAGGATTATGGGAACTTTGTATCGCGATCGAGTCTCTGGCCCGCGAGTAGCAGTCGATGTTGATTGATACGTATTATCTTCCGAAGGATGGTTTATTTGATCTCTCGAAGCTGTCGCATATTGTTTCCAGAATTCTACGGAGCTATCTGAAAGACCGTTCGTCGAAACCGATTTGCTCCTCAGGGTCGTATCTTCTGTAATTTCTTGTTCATTTACATCATGAGATCCTCCTTCTATATTTTCTTCTCCTTCTTCTTTCTTATATTTGAGATCATCCTGAAGTGCGTTAGTGGTGCCAGGATGACGACGAATAAACAAATTGTTTCTTCGTCTTGAAGAAATATCAAGATTATTATTTTCTGTTGACGACAAAGAGGTCGAGTATCGATTGGTCGTATTTTCTGTAGAGGTTGCAAGACTCTTGCGCACAAACTTCTTACGCGCGTACCTCGAATCAAAGTTCAATTTTGTGGCCAGTGAGGAATCCGATTCCGTTGTGAATGGCGTGGTGGTTGCTTGTGAACGGGTGATGGCTAAATCTGTATCCGACATGGGTGACATGGTGGTTATTTGCGCGCGATTAGTGGATAAGTTCTCAGGCTTGGTGGACGGTATCAACGTTTCTTCTGAGAACGTGTTACTTTCAGTATTATAAGACGTGGCTGTCGCCAACATTAATTCCATCGTAGTACTTTCAGTACCCGTCTCGATCGTTGACTGATCCTCATCGGCATTTGTGTTAATCGTTGATATAGTGGTGCTGAGAATACTTGTAGCTTCATCATCAGGAATCGTCGTGATCTCAGTTGCAGGAGTCTCCAAAGTAACCTTCGTGGAACCGTCCGAGTTATCAGTAAATAAAGTGGTTTCTGTGATAGTTGAATCTTCCATTTCTCTCGTAAATTCTGTTAGACCAGCAGCGATCGTTGATTCTTCAGCATTTTTGGTCATTGGAATAATTCTTGTCCGATCGGTAGCGTTGGTTGATTTTTCAATTTTTTTACTACTTCCCATCGGAGTTGTTGATTCTAGAGAAAGGCTCGAGTTCTCTTCTTCTTCAAAAGAAACTTCAGCCGACGTCGACGAAGTGTCTTGAAGCGGACGTTTACGTTTTATCACTTTTCGTCTACGAGGTATTTGAGATATTTCTTTTTCTTCTGTTTCAATAATATTGGCAGCTGTGCTCGATGATATTGGCCTTTTTCTTAGGATAATCTTTCGTCTTTTGGGAGTCTCCGATGTTCCTTCCGTAACATCGACGACGCGTTCGGTAGAAACGATCGTCACCAAATCAGGATTAAATTCATAAGCTTCGATATGTGCGGTCGTTGTGACGACAGCATCCTCGGGTCGATCACTCGTATAGTCGATCTTGTTAGTAGATGCAGTCGTTGCATCATTGGTGTAAATTGATTGAATAGTATTTGATTCAACGACGGAATCAATCGTAGCTGTTGATTGATCGACATTGTTCAGCAAATCGTTCCTCTCAATTTTGTACTCCGCAATAGCATCTGCTCTGGGAACTTTGAATGTTATCGATGTAGTCTGTTTCTGGTTCGAATCATCATTTGCTTTTTGCACCGGTTCTTGCACATTGTTCCTTTTCCTCGTGTACTTTGTCCTGTCGTATAACTCACGATTGACAGTCGGCTTCCTGAAGACTCTGATGTTTGTTATCCTACCGTTTTCCTCTTCGCTGCTATCAGATCGCGATTGCAACGACGGTTTGTTCCTAGAACCACCTTGTGTTATTCTAACTATCGGACTATCGTTCAATTCATTGGCTTTGATAGACTCCGTGCTGTTAACTCTGCCAGGTCTTCGGTATCTTCTCCTAAGGCCACTGCTGGTGATTGTACTCGCAGTCGTCGATGTCGTTGTTCTACCTCTTTCTCTATATCTGGGACCTGAAACGGAGTTCGCGGAAACATCCTCCGTCCTTGATTTTGAGGTTGGTGAGATATATCTGCTGGCTCCCCTATTGCGCGCTCTGCTAACGTCCTTGCTCCTAGACGTGAAAGTCTCCGCGCGTGGAGTCTCCACTTGATCCACCGAGTCCTCCTCGGCGATTCGGTTGGCCGGTCTCGTCCTTAATCGAACTCGCCCCAGAGCTGGGCTGGACGGACGCGTGGGATTTCGCGACGAAATACTCACCTTGGACCTGCTCAACGGAGTTGTCGCCGTCGTCGTCGCTTCCGATGAACCGGATTTTCGTCTGGTGAAACCAAACGGTCGCGGTTGCGACACCGTGGCGATAGTTGATCTGCTCGCCAATGTCGTCGTCGTCGTCGTCGTCGTCGTCGTCGACTGACTTGAACTGCTAGCTGCCGGCAACGTCGTGAAGAGGATCTCCGTCGCCGAATCTTCCACCAGTTTCACCGAGTCAGTGGTGGAGCCGACAGTGTTTTTAGGGCTTACACTAGGTGAATTTTCCGGTGGTTCGACGCTAATCACGGTGATGACTTCAGTAGAGGTTGAAGTGCTCGCGGGAGTAGACGATGGGAGGCTCGTACTAGAAAATTCTGGATATTCCTCTATTCCCATTGATAAAGTAGGTTCATTGATGACCTCTGATAACGGTACTACGCTAGACGCATCCTCGGAAGTTTTTAAAGTGGTGCTTCTGAATCTTTGTACATTGGTATACCTAAAAATTAAGGAAATCGTGAAATGCCTAATGATATGAAAAGTATCACAATAAAAAGAATATGTAAAAACCTAGATTTGGTTGTTGACGAATCGTCATCTTTCTCTGCTGACAGATCCGTGCTTTTTAAATCGTCATCTCTCTTCTCTGAATTCCTGAAGCTGTAACGTAAGGATAAAGAGGTAGTTTAGGTAAATAAATATACGCATAAGAAATATACTTTAGCTATTATAAAATCATATTATTATATAGCGGCGAATTTTCTTTCTTATACCTGAAACTTAAGCCACGATTTCGAGATGGTTTAATTATTTCAGAACTTGCTTCGTTGTCTTGTTGCCTGCAAACATTATTATGTTTATAATGTATATGTTAATAATTTAAGCAATATTAATGAATTTTCATATTATAAATATTGAAATTTAAATATCAAAAATATATATACTTCGAAGAAACGAAAGGTCGTCGTCTACGAGTAGATCTTTTTTCTTCTATTTCTACTTTCTTCCCTTCCACGTCATTCTCGGTTCTAAAAATTTTATTTCGTAAGAGATATGAAATAAAATTAATTAGTTTGTTAATTAACGTACCTAGACGTTGTCGTGGAAAGTCGTGTTCGTCGAATATTTACATAACTTGGCGTCACTCGTTGCGTAGACGAGCTACCTTCCGGATTGCTGATGCTTTTCTCCTCGGAGGAAGCTACATCAGTGCTATCATCATCTTCTTCGTTCTCATCAATGCCTTCGTTCTCCGATTCTTTCGTGACCGACCTAATTAATATTAAAATCGTAATTAAATGATACATGAATTAAACATTTATAATTTATAAAATCAACATTGGTTAATTTTTGGTTTAATTCATCTTCTATCTTTTCTCAGAATTCAGAATTAAAAAAGAGAGTATTTAAATCAAGACAAAAATTAATTAATTTTAATAATTACAGTCAATAGTAATATTGTACATTTTTGTTAATAAACAAAGCAACAACTGACTTGGATCTCTCGATAGTGACGTATTGGGGTTTCTGCGATCTTCTGAGGCTCTTCACTTCAGGAATATCGTCCAAACCTTCGAATTGTGCTCTTCCTGGTCCGTTCACGTAACTGGTTTCCGAAGACGAAAATGCAGGTCGTTGATTACCTATTCTGTTCGCCTGACGATTCAATACACGTTCGTATAGACTACGACTAATCGTGGCCGGTGTCTCGCTTTCGCTGCCCGATTTCGTGTTTGAATTTTTCTCTTGAAGTAACAGCTGCTTTTCCAACTCTTCTATTCCGCCTAAAAGAGTTTGAGAACTATTGATTATAAAATATATTTTGAAGGATTTTCTAACAGAAGAGGTATTGATATTATAAACGATATTGTAGAAAAATTAATATTAGAAAAAAAAATAAAATAAAAAAATAAATACTAAAATTAGAGAAGAAAATAATTATAATTGCAAAAAAATTGCAAACACTACAGTATCACCAAAAAATATATTATAATTACATGTATATTTAGTAAATGTACACTTACCAGCTTTCTTAATGAGATCGATCAATTCCTTGATCACTTTTGGATCCTCCTCGTCTTCATTATCGATGACTTTCTCTGGTTCATTTGATTTTAAAGTGGTTCTTGTAGTAGTAGTCGTACTTGGCCTATTTCTGGTGAGTGTTTTATATATGAGTGGCTTTGTCGTCGTAGTCGTGGTAGTCTTCGGTTCTTCTTTCACCTCTTCTTCCTCTTCTTCCTCTTCTTCCTCGCTTTCCGCAATCTCATCATCGTCGTCGTACTCTTCCTCCGAATCAAATTCTTCCGATTCCGCCTTTGCGGTCGTTGTGCTGTGTAAGTAAGTTGTTCGGCTAGTTGCGGCTGTAATAGGCGATCTAGTAGTCGAGACAATCGATGTTTTCGATGTCTTAGGACAAATCACATTACGCGGATAATCACAAGAATCTGCTGCTTTGTTAAATACCAAACCTGTAAAAATCCAAGAAATATTATAGCAAAATGAATTAAAGAAGGAAATTTCTGTTCTAATTGCAGATTTAATAATAAATAAGTACTAAATAATAAATAAATAATAAATAATAAATAAATTGATATAAATAATGATCTAAGAAGAATCAAATTTTTATTGTTATTTTCATCTAAATTTTTTATTTGTATGCAGATTTTGTATTAAGTACTCTTTGCTTCATTTATGAAGTTAAACACATTTAACATTTAAGCATAAAAATATAATCGAAATTATTTGTAATAAAATGGAATTACCTGAGGGACAAGTGAATTGATGTGCAACCACGCCAAGTCCACTGGGACCACTATCGAGACACCAGAAATACTTTTTGCAATCTCGAGGATGCGGGAAAAAACCTTCATCTTCGCATTTAAAGTCTATAAAAAACAAATCAGCGATTCTTACTTTTAGCAAAGACAAATCTTTCTCCTAGCTCCTTTTTCTGCACGCTTGTTAAATTTTAGATATCACAAAATGTTCTTAGTCAGTCAGTTGTTAAAAATGTAGGTTAACAAATTAAAAATATATTCTATAATTTTTATGGCATCTTACCGGTTCCTGGATCGGGTGTCGTCGGTGGTTCAGGAGTCGTTAACTTGTTGCTCAAGGACTCTCCGCTTTCGTCAGTCTTACTTTGTCCTTTACGTCTGGATTGCTTTCTACGAGTGCTACGATCAGCAGAAGCGCCTCGCGTTTTACTCCTATTTCGGTTTTTCGGTCGCTCAATTTTCTCTGTGACTGTGACGGTGTTTCTGCCCTCCGTGTCCTCCTCCGAGGATGGATCGTAAGACCTTCTCGATACCTCCCGGTCGTCTTGCTCTTCGCTTTTCGATTGTGAAACGGTACGATATTTCGGTCTTGAAGAAGACACACGTTTGCTAATGATTGGAGACGATGTCGTGCTACTTCTTCGACTGCTCGTATTCGACTTACGAGTATTGCTTTGAGTGCGAGTCTTTTTCCGATTGTCTACTGACTTCGTCTTGTCAATCGTATTCCTACTACATAATAATTATTTTTAATAAAATATATTTTTAAATTACTAATAAAGGAATGTTCTAAAAATAATATTTTTGTGTAGTGGAAAGATTAACATTTTATCAAAATTTTATATTCACTGTACTATTTATTAATTTAATATTTTATTTCTTAAAATAATGCTAAAATTAATGATAAGAACAATATTATAATAATGTAACGATAATGTAACATAGAATGTTATTTTCGATAATTTACTAATATTCGTTATTATGTTGTCCAGTAAATTGCTTTTTTATTGTTACCTATTATCCGCAAGCAACGCTTCTTTGGCAGCTTCGATTAATGGATACGGTCGACCATGACACTTGCCACGGAAATCATCATTGTCTATTGACCAAAACATAATGCCTCCCAACTTCTTTTCATTCACATAACGAGCTTTTAATCTAACTATATTCTCGTCGTCATATCCTACCCACTGATTGCCCTTGAAGGCATATGGTCCCATGGCTTTAGGGTTTGGTTTAACGACCTCCCAATCATCAGATTCCGCAATACCCTCGCAAATCTTAAATATGAAACATTCAATTTCCAATTCTGTGAATGTATATTTCTAAATATATACATTGTAATATGTTCTAAGCACATATAAATAAAGCGCGTCTATAATAACATTTACGATTACGAATATACATTATACGATTTTATAGATTTTTATGTATGTAATACGTAATGCAAAAGAAAATATAATGTATATAATGCAAAAGAAGATTTGTATCCGCGCGCACGGATGTAATCTGTGTATCTGATCGAGTTTACATTATTATTATATTACCTCATAATAGGCAAGATAGCCTTTCTCTCGAGTGGCCTCTCCTTCGGTGCCTGGACCATCAGCCGGCGATCCAAGTTCGGTTGCATCTTGATTGAACAACGTGTAGGATCGACCGTACGTTGGTATTCCAAGAACGACCTTATCCGCGGACGCACCTTTCTCCAAGAGGTGACTGATTGTATAATCCTACCCACACACACACAAACAACGATGCATCGCTAATTGATTTATTCAAATGATAATCATCAAATTCTGATCAAAGTAAAACTCCTTACGATAGTCAATTCCGCGTCGTAATTGTATTCGTTGTCCTCTTCCAGAGGATACAACGGCGAATGATGATTAACGGCGGGCTCGTACGCCGAATGATAGTCGTACGAGAGCAAATTAATGAAGTCCAAATACTCGTTTAATCTAGGCACATCGTAACCCTTGTCAATGTATTCGATACCGGCGGGCATCGCCATCGACAGCAACAGTCTCGGCCTTCCGGTTTTCGAAGATTCTCGCTCGAATTCCTCGCGAAGTTCCTATTAATTTAATCACTTTAATTAACTTTCTACAAATAATCCCTGGTTGGAGCGCGAGATCGCAATCGGCTTTTTATCATCCCGCACTTATCCACGCTTCAATCTCCGAATCTTTAATGCGCTTTTTTTCTGCAAGAAATTTCATATCCTTTCCGCGACGATAAGAAACGGATTGGGACATCTACCTGCACCAAGTTGGCATAATTATCCTTATCTCGTGGTTTTCCGCCGTCTCTGAAGGCCGGATACTCCCAATCGAGGTCGAGACCGTCGAAGTGATTCTGCCTGAGGAACTTGATGGCGTTCTTGACGAACTCCCGCCGTCTCGCGGAATCGGCCACCATCGGTGAAAATCTGCTGGAGCCCTCGTTCCAGCCGCCGATCGCCAGCATCGTCTTCAGGTTCTTATTGTAGGTCTTCAAACCCGTAAACTTCGCATATCCGCCTGTCGAGCGAACGTGTTTATCGAAGAGTGAAAGTTAAATATCGGCTAACTCATGAAAGATGATGTGTGTGTTCTGAGTTTGTCAATGTTGTGCGTTAAACAACTTGAGACACTAAACAGCCAAGTGGAAAAACTAAATGTAACCAGCATCACTTTTGTATTTATTTAGATATGACAGACGTAAAGTTAGAAAGATATAGTTTTCATTGCGATTAAGAATAATATTTTTAATACTTGACAGTTATTTGACGTTTTACTCTTCAGCTTCCTTAAAACACAAGTCATCATCAATAATAAAATTTCTTCTATCTTTTATCTTTGTACAATCATCATAAATTTACAATATATTCGAGATACATCCGTAAGCTTTTAATTGGTGATTAACATTAGGCATTAATCGTTAAAGTTGTTAATTTTAAAATCCTCTGACATAAATATAATCTTCGATAAATAGGTAATTTCATTTTATAATAGTTAAGGCTGGAACGTTGTAAATTGGTAAATAAAGTTCAACAAGTCTTGTAATAGATATTTTATATTACCTTTCTCGATGTCTTGATACTTGTCGAACGGTCTCAATGCGTTTTCCTTCGTGAAACCTCCGAACGCGTAGATCAGATGGGTACAAAGATACGGATTTATATTTTGAGGAGAAAATTTCGCCGTGCCGGGCCGATACACCGACCAATTTGTGTAATAACACACAATTCTGCGTTCGGCGATTCCTAAAAGATAAGAATATAACGGTAACAAATACAAAATTTTTCCACAAGATAATTTTTAAATGCACATCTCTTATTATTTTTTTAAACATTTTTAAAACATAAAACTAATTTTCTGTATTTATATCGTCGTTAAATAATTTAAATAATAATTTTGTAAATCTTACGAAATAAATCTATATACATTCCGAATGATTGCTGATACCAATATGATTACTAAATGTATCAATTTAATAGATAAACTCAAAAATATTTATAAAAATAATTTAAAAACAATTAAATTATATTACGTACTTAAAATCGATTTTTTATTAAAAAAAAAAATTCTTTAATCTTTTATTGTATTTCATATTTTCCTATACACAGTTGGAAAAATTTGTATATTTTTGTGAAAAACTAACATAATCTCAACATTACTTTTGTATCTATAATATTTAAAACATTCATATAATTAAATTAACACAAAAATTTGAGTTTGGGACCGTTTGGGACGTGTGATTTATTTTTTTTAACACACATTAAATTTAATACGTATTATTTTCCGGCAGTGTAGCGAAAAAGGAAAGAAAAATGAGGTCGCATTATTCCTGCACGATGATTGCTCCACTTTGAATGGAAGTCCATTGATAATGGAGGAGACAGCTGCGGCAGATGCGTTCTCGCGTATTTAGCCGCGAAAAATTTCGCTCTTCGGTGAGTGTCACCTCTCAAATAGCGGCGTCCGCGTGTTGTCGCGCGTGCCGTCGTTTTCACCGCGATCGCTAAACGCAGCACACGCGCTCGCGAGATCGCGAATTAAAACGCACGCGCATCCCGAGGCGCGTATACTTACACCTGCGCTTCTCTATATGTCGCGTCGTGGCGCACACGCGCACACACGCGCGCGAGCCGAACGCGGGGAGAACGCGTAAATGGCTGCGAGAGAAAACGCTGCTACAGGGAGAAATTGAAACGCGATTGGACTTTCGTTTATGCACGCGAAGAAATAGCGCGCCGCACGTCGCGGCCTCGACTCGCGTGGTCGGCGCGGCTCTTGAAATGCAATGCAGGACACCTGTTAGATTTTTTTCGACTCTCTCTCTCTCTCT